AAAAAAAAAAACAAAAAAAAAAAAAAAAAAAAAAAAAAAAAAAAAAAAAAAAAAAAAAAAAAAAAAAAAAAAAAAAAGAAAACATTCTTGACCTCAAACGAGTCCCAGGCGATCTTCACTTTATTTCCGAGCTCAGGGTCATTCTTAAATTTGCGTAATTCCGCTAAGTAGCCATCATGTTCGGGTCGAATTTCTTCAGTGAAAGAGGTTTGTTCTTCTCGTAGTATTAGGTACTCATATAAATAGTTGTCACACTCATTTCTTAATATGGTTTTAATAATCGTTTCGCGTTCTTGCTTCGCATCCATTTTTTTTACGCGTTATAATCCCTTGAATACAAGTTTTTAAAAAATAAGTGCCTTAGACTTGTCTAGAGTAGGAAATTTGGTCACTACGCCTCAGAAACTCAGAAACAAGTCTACAACTTTGTGTACTGAAAAAATTTTATGAAAATGTTAGGTAAAAAAAAAAATCGTTATCGTTATATGTAGTACGTAGTCCATTATAAAAATCACTTAGAGTGTACGAGCATGATAGAAATTAGTTTTTATTGGTTAAAAAAATGATCGACAATTTATAAATAACAAACTTTGATTGGTTAAAGCTAAAGATTAACTTCACGTTATTTTTGATGATACCCTTTATGGTTTTTTGTAAAACCGATTGACCGATTAATAATATCCAACATTTTATAGCTTGCTCACGTGAAGTTCGAAACTTTTAATTGAAAAAGCAGTGGATTTTTATTAACTATTTCGTTTTAAAATGCCAAAAATTTAATGTAATACCTTTGTGTTACATACTGGCGTCGTCAGAATCGCTTATAGTAAAAGTTGGTGGAACACTTGATCCCACTTGATCCCAAACGTTTATATGAAAGTTATGCTTCTAAAAAACAATCCGGTAAAATTTTAGATGATCTTAATTATTAAAAAATTTTAACTTGTCTAATTAGAATTAACGTTAAAATTTCTATTGCAAAACACTATAAAAATTTGTGTAACAGTACTTTCAATAGAAAATAAACAACCAATTTCTATCATGCTGAGTGTACGTATTATACTGCTTATCACACGTTACCATAGGTGTTAACAGGGACGATGATTTTCTGCGGTGGTTAAGACTAAATTCTGCGTGTGCTTAAGACAAAATTCTGTGATTTGATGTGCTAATTTTTTACCCGATTTCTGTGTGATTCTGTGATAGTATAGTACTATTTCTGTGATTAAATATACTATTTCTGTGATTAAATACGCTTAAATTTTGAAATTTTATTTTATTTATCCCGAGAATCCCCGCTGACTACGCTCGTAATTTATGTTTATTAACTGTCTACTCTCCGAAATTTCCCATTATAAATTGTGATTTCTTGGCTTTTTGTAGTATTCTACGGTGATTCCTCATAATTTTGTGCATTCTGTGGTATTCTGCGGTGATTAAGGTCAATTTCTGTGGTTAGCTGCGTTTAAGAAAAATTCTGCGGTGTTCTGTGAAACACAGAAAATCATCGTCCCTGCGTGTTAAACACCAATGTCGCACAAATAAAATTTTAAAATCAGGTGTAACCTAAAATTTTTATTTTTTCAAAAACTACTCTTGAAGCTCTAATTAAAAAAAATTCCTTGCTAAATTTTGCATATACTAATGCCTAGGCCTCGCTCTAACCTAAAAATTTATTTTTTTTGTTTTTGTTACACGAATTTGCAAATTAAAATAATAGTTAAGCATTATAGGTGTATTTTATAATATCTGAAATAAATAAATAAATTATTTATTAATACATCTTTTTAGTTAGGTTACACCAAGCAGATTATTTGTTTAACATAACATAGGAGGGGGAGAAGGATAAAAAAAAAAATTTTTTTATATTAAAAAAAAGAAAATAACTACAATTAACCGGAGGGAAAATCACCGGTTTTAAAATAAACAAAACAAATCGTATCTTAAAAAAACTCATTTCTTTTACTTTACGGTTAGGGCGCGGCCAGTGTTAATTTTTCAATGAAAATTTACTGCGCGGATATCGCATAATTTAAATTTTCTGTGCGGAAAATGAAAAAGAACCCTATATAATTGTTTTATTATAGCATTTTGGCGCACATTTGTTCAAAAAAAGTGTGTGCAAAATTTTGATTCAGTGTGCTGCGCACAGTGAAAAAATAAACACTGGGCGCGGCCTAGGAAATTTTTTTTTTAGAACCCAAAAGGTTGAGATATCGGCATTTTTTAAAAATTTCTTTTGTTATTGTTACACGACACGTTCACCTGATCCTGCAAATTTATTGGCTAATATCATATAGGGAAAATCCCCTCCTAGAATATTTCTATTAATTTTAAGTTTAAATTATTTATTTAGTTGTACTTTATAATACATATAATTTCTATTATAAAATTTTATGAACAGTAATAGTTTTCTATATACTTGTATAAATTGTACTGTACATGATATACATTGTAGTTTATCGTTATAACGATAATACATCTTTTCTAAATTTATATTATACATAATATCGCACATTCCTCAATGGGCCAGAGTCGAGTAACCGGATAATTAGACTGGCTATGAAATTGAAGTTCTTAAAATTATTTGCAATTTTTTTTAAAGATCAACTTCCGCTCAGAGTTAGACAAAATGAACAATTGTAAACATGTCCAGTATGCCTGATACTCGAAACTTTTTCGTAATTTAGTTTTTAATGACTGAGGCGAATCCAGAAATAATTGAAGCATATATAAGAAATGAAGGTATACACTCAAATTTGCAGATTTGTTCCTGATAATAAACTGATCTTTTTTTACTTGATCTTCCAGCTATACATGTGTGCCTAAATTGCCCATCTTAATAAAAAAAGTAATTACAGCTGTTCTCATAAATTCTGGGACAACTGATAAAATTTTGATCGCCGAATTCGATAAGTTACTGATTTCGGTCGAAATAAATAACTTATCAACCGAAATCAATAACTTATCGAATTCGGCAATCAAAATTTTATCAGTTGTCCCAGAATTTGTGAGAACAGCTGTAAGGCATTTAGGAAGCCGAAATTAGTCTTATATAGTGCCGAAATTAATTTTCATATATGCCGAAATTATTGCCGAAATTTTTTAAACTATTTTCATCAAAATACATCATATAGTATGGTAATTTCGGAGGGTTTCATATAAAAAGTTTAGCAATGTCGAAATGTTTGTCGAAAATACTTTTTTTCAAAAATAATTTAGGCACACATGTATACTTCCAGCTGTTTTAAGCTATTTTGAAAATCACGATAAAGAGGAATAGACATACGAAGATTTTTTAAATGAAATAAAGGAAACAATCATAATGTCACCCCCATACAATGATGATTGGTCCGGTTTACATAGTGCTTGGCATAGGAGATATACCGCTCATGCCAACAAAGTAAGGAAAGGTTTCAAATTTTGCTAACTCCCCAAAAAGCTTTATTGTGTGTAAGGATGCTTCTGGGGCGAAGTTATATTTATGATATAGTCCGTTCCAGAGGTTTTGTCACAGTTTTCCGGTGCTCGAGTGATGAGTAAAGAGCACTTCCGGGTCGAAGTTATATTTAAAATATAGTCTATCTGGAGTCCGGTTGCAGTTATATTTAGATACAGTCCGACTTTGAAGTTCTGGATTGCAGTTGTATTTTAAAATACAGTCCAAGCTGGAGGTTCTGGGTTGCAGTTGTATTCTATAATATAGTCCGATCAGGTTCTGGATTAGTTATATTTTATATTATAGTCCGATTCAGGGGTTTTACTGAAGTTTTCGGTGTTCCCTCATTGCGTTTTATTAAATAGGACGTCCAGCATAAGTCAATGAAGTCTATTTTTCAAGAAATTATTCTTGAAAGAGAGAAGGTTGTTTTATGTTCTAATTAACTAATAACTATTCAAAAAAAAGTAATTTTTATTAATTATATCCTTTACAAAAATAGAGATATACGGGCAAAAATTATGTAATCGAAGGGGTAAAAGTCCTTAACGAGGCAAGATTTTGCAGCTCAGATGAGATCGAAACAATAAAGGCCAATCTGGAAAACTTTATTAGTAAGCTTTAAATTTATTTGATTTGATCTAATTCACGTTGTTATGCTTCCGTTAATGGAAATTTTTTAGGAATCAGGAGAATCAATCGTTAATTTGACAGTAATGACTTTTTTTATTTTGATTCTTGTGAGCTTTGATTCAAAATTTAAATACTCATTCAACTGTAACTTATGTATGCAAGCAGCAAGAACCAAATGAAGTAACGATTTCCAAGGAAAAATCAGAAGCTCATGGGAGGTTGATAATATTTATTAGAAAGAAACGATGCTTTCCAAAAGGAAATTGGAGACCTTTAAGAACGAGATGATGATATATATGAATTTGAACAAGGTGTTCAAATAATACCTTTATTGTTAATGACATAGATATTCGTTTAAAAATAGAAGAGTGGCGACAGAAATCCAAACACATCTTAGAAATTCATAAGCAAGCGTATGTCAGTCAATAACAACTTTATATACAGTGCTGTTGTTTTATGAATACATTTATTAATAACTTTATTTTACAGTCTCTTGCAGTATAACAGTCAGCTCATCGACAACAAAGGCGCGGCGTCTTTTCGAAGACATTTGGGATATGATGGTTAATATTATGAAAGATATAACTTTAGATCAAGTAACAAAAGATATAATTTCAGATCAAGTAACAAAAGTTAACTAAATAAAAAGTTACGCCAAAGGCGTTTTCACGGGTGTGGTTAGCAAATGATATTTAAATATTGGACACAGCTTTGTTCAATACTAACATTTATATTACTGTATTACGTAGAACTCGCTTGAAAATTTAAGAAAAACGATTAAATCAAATCGTTCCTTGTTGGGGTAAAATACTAGTGATAATACTATCTGGGAAAACAAGTATTAAAAAAAGAGTATTTAGACAAATTTGTGAAATTGCGGCTAATTTCTGGAAAACATTAGAGCATGATGAGTTGTCTTGTTCAAATTTATTAGCTGATCTTAGAAAATATAAGCGAAATGAAAATCCTTTTGATATGGAATATAAAAATGGAAGTGAATCACCTCTTAATTGGTGGCTTACATTTGATGATGATGATTATCCTCTAATTGAGCTTGCAACCAAAATATTTTCGATTATGCTTTCTCAGGATGCAAAAGAAACTTCTCCGTTTTGGGATGGTTTTATGAAGATCACCAACAAAATCTTGATGTTCATCATGTTTAATACGTAGATGGCAAAAATTCGGTCCTACTACTTAATTAATGAACACAAAAAAGAATTAACTCATTATAAAAATGATTTAACTCAACAAGAAAATATAACTTGCATTCCGAATGTATGTGAAAAAAAATTATACATGATATCATTAATGAAAAAAAAGGCTCATTTATTTAATATCCAGGCAAAAAAAAGCAGGGTGAATGGTCAAGATTCACAATTAGACAATGATAGCGAACAAAGTAGGGTGAATATTCAGGATTCACAATTAGACAATAGCGAACAAAGTAGGGTGAATATTCAGGATTCGCGATTAAAAAATTATAGCGAACAATCACCTTCCGCTTCTGCTTCCGCTTTTTCTGACCATAACGAAGATCTTGAAGATGAAACTCATTACACGACAATTAGTCCTAGTATAGAAAGTCAGCAACTAACAAACGATAATAATAATGAAATATCATCCGAGTTGCTTCCCTATTCAGACAATAAAGAGTTTGAAGATGAAATTGAAGAAATCGATTTTAATTTAATGAACATTTCGGAGGAATTAGAACGTGAACCGACAGCTAAAGTATTTATATCTCAATATTGGTATATTTATTTCTTGTATCTCACAGTCTTATGTTCTTTTTTATTTTTTCATTTAGTGGGAAGTTGGTTGTGTTAATGTATCTGATAGATTTCGGAAATATCAAAAGGATATTTTCAAGAAAGCGGAGAGAGGGAGTTTAAAACACGCAAATATTTACGAACTTTTGTAAGTATTCTGAACATATAAATTTGACAATATGCCAATATATTTAAGACATATTAAACATCTTTTTTCTTATTGTGTTTAGAGCTTTATCGTCAATCTTAGTGCTCTGTTGGCCATGTCAATACCCAATTTTCACAAACCGAGAATGGAGAGAGATAATGAACACTAATCCTTATACTATGAACAAACCACCACTTCCGCAAGAAACTTCATCTTCTCTCCGTGAAGCTGCTAGCAGACGTTTGAGTCGTGGAGATGTTTTCATGGAGTGTGGAGAATCAGACCTGAATAGATTAGTCGCGCTCATGTTTAATAACCTGTAAGCTTACCTGTCTACATACCATGCATCCATAAATTTTTTAGCATATATAAAATTTCTATATATTACAGATATTACGGCATTCCGGAGGTTGCACCATCGAAATTATCTGAGGAAGAACATTGTGATATGTTCATTTATCCAATTGCTCGATCTTTTCATAGATCCGAAAAAGAATACGAACTTAGATTAAACCGTACCACTTCAGGATCAAAATCAAGACCTGACTTGTCATGTGTAGTTAATGATGTGTTAATCTTAAATTCGGAATTTAAGCCCCTTGGGTGCACACCATTACAGGAAAAAAAAGATAGACTAAAAGCACATTTAAAAGCTCGCAAATCAATTAACCAACAGTTGGAAATAAAAGGGGGTCCAGGTGAAAGCGTCATATTTCTAAACATTGGTACGTATGTTCACAATATATTAAGGAGTAAATTGTTCTTTTATAATGAATCATATTCTATAATAACCAGGTAGTTCAATGGAATCATATTTCATGGATTTGAAATATGATGGGTTGTACCGCTCTTGGTCATTTTTAACAACCAAATTAGTTGTAGATAAGAATACAATCCCATTAGCGGAATTTGCGATTAGTCATTTGGTTGCTCTCGAGGTATATGACATGTTTTCTTCAAGCTTGTAATTATATATTTTTGTTTATAAATTTCGCACTTTGCAATAACAGGAACGGGTTGAAAAGATCGCAGTTGACTTTAAGTATAGAAGCGATCAATTTACGCCACCACCCCAAATGTCCTTCCTGCGAGAATTTCCGGACACACCACAAGTGAAAATGTTACTTAGATAAACTCGGGTGTTTTATTCAATTATATTTTATTATTACACTGCGTTAGTGTTTTTCTTTTGCTAATTTAAGGTTGTAAATGGTTCGAAACCCAAGGTTTAGGCTTTAAAATTCTTAAGCTAGTAAAATGAGCAACACTCTGCTTTTATCCTCAACAAAAAATAAAATAAAATATTTGCAATACAAGTAATCTTCCTCGCGGTCAATCTGCGGGTTGATGGTCATCCGTACAAACCGTGTGATCCGTTTGGTTGTGCGGGCTGCAGATCAATTAGTTTGGATATTTTGTGTGATCTGTTTCATTCGGATTGACCGGGTCACCATGGCTACAAATATATTAATTCTCTAGAAAAATATAATTAATAATAGTTTTGTATTGTCTTTAATGTACATTAAAAGTATAGCGTATATCATTTTCTGCTATAAACTAATTTAAAATATAAAATTCTTCTTTCTAATTCTTATAAATAAAATAAAATGTGTTAATGTTATTAGGAGTTAAGATCATATGATTATACTAACCTCTGCATTAATATGGGCATTCGTGTCTGGCTTCAATGTCGTTCGAAAGATGTTTTAAGAACTGGTCGTATTTTGTCTGTATTTCTCATTAGGCATCTGGCGGAAAGCCAAGAATTGATGCAGAATAATTCATTAATATTAAGTAATTTTAAAAGATGTCACGTTCCTAATTTGTCTGCTCCTGTCTCCTGCTGATTAAGAACATCTTAACGCTAAG